TACAGTTTCCAAAGGTCTTAAATTACCAAAGACCCAATAAACAAGATTCTTTTATTTCTATAAAATTTTCGTGATATATTGAGGATTTCACCCCGATAACGATAAATAGACGAGAACCACGGGTATGTGCGGAAACAAAAGTTAGTGTTCAGCATTTTTTGTGTACGATGTTGGCGTAAGCGGAACCGTGCACGTTCAGTTGGTTGTGAAAGGGGGCTGTTTTTAGATGAGCACGTTAGCTGGTTAAGCTAGTGGGAGCTTGCGCCATGGGTGTTGTCGCTACCCGATCCGTACCGGAAACCTGATCGGTACCACGCATGCGCGAATGTTACGTCACTTCCTCTCTTTGCCAACTTTGCGACAGTTACCGACTGCGGGACGTTTAAACAATGAATACCTCCGAAACCAACGAAATTCATGATTTTCTCCTCAACGGAGAGCTTCCGACGATTGAACAAAAGCGCCGTAAAATAAGAAGAGTGGCGCCTAATTACAGACTTAAAGGTAAGTACGAAAATTAAAGATGATCTTTTATCATGGTCTACAGCTGCCCTTGCTGCTTGAGGGTACAGACTCTCCGTTATTGTTCTAAAGTTGCATGACGCCTGCGTTGATTCAGGAGGGTGTAACGAGTAATATCAGTGTACAGTGTATACGTGTAGCATCGTCTGTAATATCGAAACTCTATACGGTACGGATCGGGTAGCGACAATAGTGCAAGTTTAATGGTAACTGGATGGCTAATCCCACGTTCGTGACGTGGTTAGCACCGGTTCCAGGCAATAGCTGGAAATTATAGTTTAAATTTAATTTAAAAAATAGCTTAAATTTGGTCAAAGTTGCATTGAAAAAGGTCTTAAAAAGTCTTAAATTTGGCTCCCTTAAACCTGCAGATACCCTGGAATGAGCAGCAGAACATTAAAAGTGTAAAGCTTAGAAAAAAGGAAAAACACGTCTATTTTTCCACAGACGGAAGACACTCTGCTCGGCTTCGGCAGCTCCTCTGGGAGTCATTCCCAAAGGGCTGCGGCTGTGAAAGAGGCGGTCAGCATCCCGCCGCGTGCTGCTCTCAGAGGAGCGAGTCCCGTCACGCATTCATCTAAGTGTGAAATCTCTCTAAGAGACTTGTGTGTAAGCAAAGTGACTCTAATTAATGAGTGTGTGTCTGGCTCAGAGATGCAAGTGTGATGGGGTTAATAAGACGATTTTAGCTGTGAAAACTGAAAGCAATAATTTAGCGTTTTGAGAAGAATGCTTAAAGAGCAAGTCACCCCTTACAAGAAGCGTACTTCACTCCCACTTCATGTTTGAAAAATGCAACAAATGCTGTTGCCTAGCAGACCGAGAGGGTGGAGCCACTAACAAATACACACACTCACGACATTGTGACATCATAATGTTCCAGTTTACATCATAGCATACCTCTTAGCCAATAGCGGTAGCAGATTTAAATTCAAATGCAGCGAAGAGTTTTTACCCGACAACGGCACAACACTGACAGTTTCAGGCAGAAAATTTCAATTTTAACTAAAATGCACTAAAGTGCTAAACTATTAACTACACGTGTCTGCAGCACAATTAGACACGCATTTATATAATTTATCAGAAAAAAATGTTGATTTGAGGGTGACTTGCTCTTTAACAACTCTCTGGCCACAGTCGACGTGAGCCTCTCAGATGTGACGGCTGATTAGGAGGCCGCTTTGCTTAGCTTAACGTAAAATATATGAAAGCAGGAAGAATCTGGCGTGGCTCCGTGAAAGAAGGAACCTGGTTAATAAGAAGTGCTTCGTTAGAAATGATGTTACGGAGACAAACTGCTGTCCTCCGCATAATCTTAGATATCCGATCCACACGGTTGCTCCCATCTACGAGGAGAAAAACCTTTTAAAAGGTAACGCAGCTGCGGAAGGAGAAGGAGGAGGAGCTAAACAGCGTGGGTGGGACCCAGAGTCTCCTGTTGGGATGCGTGCTTGCTTTGAGCTCCAGGGGCTGCTACATGTGTTCCAGTCCAGGTCACCTGTGACTTTTACCTGATCGACAGCTCTTGTTCACGCGGGTCCTGCAACTTTGTTGGGTTTGTGTGTTCCAAGCATCAACACGCTACGTTTGTCCCTTCAGGACAGGACCAGTGCAACGGGGCTGGTCTGGCTGGGGTTGTGACCGGGGCACGACTGGTACCAGAACTGTGCTCCCAACCCGGGCCACAGCGATGAGGTCAAAGGTAGATCATGAAGTGGCCGTCCCAGAAAGAAAAAACATCTGATCATACCGTACCTGAACTACTGCATTGAAATCTGGGGAACAACATATAAAACTTACACAAATTCCATTTACATCTTACAGAAAAAAGCGATAAGAATAATCACAAGGAGCAACTACAGAGATCCGTCCAATCCATTATTTATAAAATTAAAAGCACTAAAATTCTATGATCTGGTGGACTACAATATTTTAAAATTTATGTATAATGCAAACAAAAGGAACGTACCTGCAGGATTAATTAAAAGATTATCAAAAAGACATAGCAAATATGATTTAAAGGGACATGAATTATTTAACATACCTAGACATCGGATACTCGTAAAGGAACATTGTGTCTCTATATATGGAGTTAAATTGTGGAATAAATTGAATACTGAACTCAAGAATGCAAAAACAATATTGACTTTCAAAAAAGAGATGAAAAATAAAATGATTAACTTATATAGATCCGTTACATAAATGTGTGAGGGGAGGGGGGTGGGGAGACGAAAGGAAAAAAAACTAGTATGTATTCGTATGTGTACATTTGTATGTATATAGATGTATAACTTCATGATTCTTTCTGTGTAAATTTTTTTCTCTCAAATTCATGGGTTGAGATTTTGTCGGCCAACAAGTCCAGGAACTATATTGTTCAATTTCTTTAAGAATCATGTGATTATTTCATTTGTATTAATGTTATTTTAGTTAAAGGGGCAGACAACATAAGTTTTTCTTCTTTCTGTCCCCTTTTTCATTTTGACTTGCAGCAATTTAGTTCTGTATTTTTATTTTAATGTCAATAAATGAAAATAAAAGATTGAAAAAAAAAACATCTGCAGGTTTGTTTCCAGAGAGCACCATCCTGATGAAGTTCACGTCAACACCTTCCATGATTTTGGTGATTCACACTAACAAGAGGTTTCCCAGCACACTGAGGAGAGCGGCCATTGGTCAGAGATAACCATGTGACATCACACGAACCCTTTATAGAGCCAGTGACCAGATTTCATCGCTCTTTAAAACTGGAAAGGCCTGACCTCCGTTTTGAATCCACCACTAACTAGATATTAGTGTATGATGATGTTGACCTTTGACCCTGCAACCTGGTCTAAAACACACCAGCGGCTTTATTTAAACCTCCTCTCAGTCCCATGTTGCCAGTTTCCTGAATTATTTCATTCTCCTTCTCTTTCTCCGACTAAAGCTCCTCGTATTGAGCATAGTGTTTCTCAGCTCGGATTAGAATTTCCAATGACATCAATAATAATAAATGATCAATGACGGCTGTGTAAAAAGTTGTGTGCTGCACTAAATCAGCCCAGAGATCCTTTAACTTCACAGTCTCCCTCAGCACGACTGGATAACATCCATGTTTCAGTCGGCGTTGGTTTATTAATAAGGTGTGAAGGCCGAACGTCAAACAGGTAGAGGGATGGGACAGAGCAGGTGCTGGACGGTGATCAGGTAACCTGCTGTTCTCTCCTCTTAGCTTGGAGGCAGAGATCAGATCTGTTCTGACCGACATGCTAAAGGCTAGTTACAGCAGGGCTAGATCCTGGTGCTGACATCCTAAAGCAGCTCCGATCTCTGCTTCCAGCTCGTGTTCACACAGCCAAACGCTGTCACCCAGTTGTTATGTGACAGCTATTGAATCAAACCAGAACTGGATCTCTGCGAAGCGGGCGTCTGCTCCTCCAGGTGTGTGAGGCCGTAACTCATTACAGGTGGGATGCTCTCTGTAGGTTGGGAGTGTGATGGTAGGATGGAGCGAGAGGCAGACTGGTGGATCTGAGGCTTCGGGTGCAGGAACGAGGGAACAGGGCTGAAGGGCAGAGCTTTTAACTTACAGACCCACCGACTGCCCCGCCTCCACAGGGTCATGAGGGTTGACTCGTGTCTGGATACATGTGGCTGAAATAAGCTTCCTAGAGATGAGGCGAGGAGCTTCACCAGTCAGGGGAGACTGGAGTAGAGCCGCTGCTGCTCCTCATCAAAAGAATTCAGATGAGGTGGATCAAGCATCATCGCTGTTCCTGGTTTCCTTCTTGTTGATGTTTTATGTGCGCGTCCCACTGGGAGGAGAGCCAAGGGTCTCTGGAGGGATTTTACATCCTCTCTGACCTTGTGGAGGTTTAGAATCCTCCAGGAGGAGCTGGGAAGTGCTGCTGGGGCGACGTGTGTCCTTACATCCCTCCTGGATACTTACAGAAAAGGACGAAATGGTAAAGCTAAAGTTTGTTAGCTATTTCTTTTACTTCTGGACAAATTAAATCGAATGTTTCTTCTGGAAAAAAAAACAGTTTTCTGCAGCGTGAAGGTCTATGAACAACAACATCAACATTATCCTGAACCAGCCAACATGAGAGAAATCCATTTAGTGACTGTTAGCTCGTCTCTCTGATCAAAACTCACTTCTGTTTCAACTCGGGCCATTCAAAGAGCTTCTCCACAACAGGTGAGGTGTTCAGTGTTCACACCTGTCCAGGACACCGTTGTTTAATGCTTGTAGTTTATCCACTAAACCGCAGAGACTGTGAGTGAGCTGCTGTGAGGCTCATGGAAATCTAAAATGTTGATCTATTCAGGGGAAAGTCGTGGTTTTAAGAATGAACCTGAGTGATTTATGGGTGCATGTGGACGTGTGGTTTTATTTATTCATGCTCCGGCGCAGACACGGTCGGGTGTGCGAGGAGCCCGGTCCTTTCAGCTCACGCTGCGCTCATATCTCACAGAAGAACACATACGTGCTGGTATACAGGAAAAATGAGACTTTAATGGATTCCAGCACATATCAGTGAATGGCTTTGTATGTACAGAATCATCCCTTTGAATGATTTAACATAAATAAGGCATTTCAAGTATCGAAAATAACCCACGGATTTCACATTTCTGGAAAACGCATCCCTTCCATGGCGGCATGAGTGTCACCGAGTGTGAAGCAAGAAGGAATCAGAGTCAAACAGGAACCCTATAAACATGTAGTAGAATGATCTACACACACGCACGCACGCACGCACGCATGCACACGCACGCACGTTATTTTTTCACATATAGAGAAAACATCTTCCTTGCGTGATTTCATCAACCTTTGGCCATGTTGGGTTTGTCTGTCAGAAAACGGGGAACAGCACAAATAAAGTTTTCATGAACACTGAAAAAGACAATTTATGCACAATATTTTACATCCAACATTATTAAAAAGAAAAACAATCAGAAAATAACAAATCCTGAGTGCTGTCAGCTTCTGCTCCTCTCCCTTTGAGAAGTTCCTCTGCCGTTTGGCGTTGTGCGGCACATCCGTCACTCACCAATCAGCTGCTCTCCAACATTAATCCAAATGCCGGAACAGCCAAACTCCGTCTCAAAGTCAGGAGGAAAAAACAAAAGATGAAAATAGATTCATCACAAGGTTACGATGAAGTTCCTTGCAGGCTCCTCAGAGCGTCGGTGTTTTTGGGAGCCTCAAGCAGGATGTGCTTTATGTATTCTACATCTTTTTTTTACACTTTGATGTGAAAGTGTTCGCATTTCTTGAAGCAACAATAGCTTCATTGTCTCTTGTGATAATTGGTCCAACGACAGTGCTACAACGAGAAAGAAAAGTGTGAGAATCACAGGAGTCGGTTTAAATCATCCGGTTAGTTCCTCACAAAGCAGAGCTGTTAATAAAAGCATCAATAAACGATTACGAGTGTTCTTCCCGCACATTAAAGGCGTCTGACCTTTGAGTCTGAGGTTTCGGCTTTGCGTCCTCTTCTCCAGGTGTCAGTACGTTGATGTAGGGTATGGCTGAGTGTTCTGGCAAAGGTGGGAAAATAAAGCAGTGGGTTGATTTGTGCTGTTGGCAAGTCATTTGCAGCAACGTTCAGCTCTGGTAACAGGTAGGTTTGGCTCCACATTTGCATGCAGCTTCATGTCTGTGAGGATTCTTCACCTCCAGACCTCATTTACTTGCATGAAAATTGGATTCAGTCACGTTGAGGCTTTATGTATTTGAGCTGTAAATGAAGGGAAAGCCCTAAGTTATGAACAGCATCAATTAAAGAGTGAAATATGTTAGTAGGCTTGGTTGCGTCCATGCTCACTGCCTCTAACTGCCAATAAAAATTAAAACTTGTCAAACGCCTGGCCTCGCTGCAGGGGAACCAGCCAGCAGAACCTTGCTGTACCTGCATCGAGACGAAGGAAGAGTTGACAAAACTCAGGGTGGAGGGTGTGTGTGAGAGTGTGCGTGTGAGTGTGTGTGAGTGTATCAATGACTAACGCTAAAAGAACATGGACAAATTCTCCGTTACGTTACCTAAAGGTTTCTGAGTCTTGGGTTTGAAGCCTAGTGGGTGGTTCGGACCACCGTCATGCCGGCCGTGTCACACGTCTCAACACTCCCGGACGAGACACAACAGGGCAAAGAGTTGCAGCAGAGCAGAACACTGAGGTTCTGGGACCGCCATTACTCCCAGCTACAAGCTAACTGAGCTAACTGATGCTAACTCTTAGCCAGAAATACATGGTTGAGCAACTCTAAAGTGGGACATGCAGGATCTCCCTTCAGTATATACACCCAGCAGGGCTCTGGGATCCTGACCCCTACTTCACACTGGAAGCATCAGCGTGTCACGTTTTGGTGTAGTAGGATGTTTAGGACCCAAAATGCAGAAAACCAGATGAACCAGGCAGGAGGTAGAGGATGAAAATAAATCCTTTATTTAGGAGTAGTCCAAAGGCAGGGAGCCAAAACCAAAAATCCAAATGACTAAACCAGAGATCCAAAAACACTAGAAGCTAGAGAGCAGAGGAGACTGACAAGAAACAATGGACCGACAAGAACACAGGGACAGACAGGGCTTAAATACACTGGGAGGAGCAATCAGGGAAACAGGAAGCAGGTGTGTGGGGTGAGCTGCTGGAGGGAAGGCAGGTGACACTAATCAACACAATGGGGAAAACAGAAACAGAGGGTGGAGGACACCAGGAGGCACATAAAGGAGGGGGGCAGATGCAGACCATGACACAGCGGAGCTCAACGGCAGCACAACGGGTACCTCGTGACTTTTGCTGTGGTCCATTACACACCGGGATAGTCTCAGCCACGGAGTAGCATCGTGGCACAAAATCCCTCGAGTTTGCGCCATTAAACCAACAAGAAGTCAATCCCGTTGGATATGTCTGTTTAATGTCATATGCGGTGTTGTTCCTCTCCACTGCCCGGATTAAAGCCATGAAAACACACTGCTGCACTTCTGCAACGATGCAGGGAGTAAAGAAGCAGTTGGACCACTTTTACTGAAGTAATCTTCATAGAAACGACATTGCATCCCTGCAACAGTCTTTTATTTTGAAAATTACCAGGGGTTTTAAACGAAACTGTGTGCGATTTCTGGTCTAGTCTTATGTTGAACCACCAAATAGTTCCCGAGCGCAGCCACAGCTGCAGCTCATCGCCCCCCCCATATGCGGAGATGAATTTCACCAGTGTGTGGTGGCTAATGAGGTTTTGACTTTAATGTTAACTGTGGAAGTTGTAGTGTCCCAGAAGTGGCACATGGCCAAGATGGAACCTGATCCCATCTTTAGCGGCGCGGCGCGGCGTGGTGTGGCATGGCGAGCCGCTTCTGGGATGTGCCTGAAAATTTCAACGTGAATCACCCCGTGGACTATAATGGATTCTAATTTGAAGCAGTGCCGTTGCGTTGCGGTCCCAGTGTGAAGTAGGGGTAAGGAAGCTGTCAGCTGGTAGAACCTCGGGTCAGAACCAAACAGGCTGAAGCTGCTTCGAGCTACCGTGCTGCTCGCAGATGGACTCAGCTTCCTCATAGACACGATTTAAATGTTTCTGTTGACTCACTTGTGAACACGTTACATCCAAAGTGACGTACAACTGAGGATGTAACAGTGAGTACGGTCAGCTGACATGTGGAGAACATGCAAACTCCGCATAGAAAGGGTTTTGAACCAGCAACCTTCGTGCTGTGAGGCAGCAGAGCTACCATGCAGACTGAAAACCAATAAAACCAGTCCTGAGCTGGTGTAAATGCAGACTGGTTGTGTTTGCTGTGACAGTTGGCAGAGGTTATCTCACCCTCGTGGTTTTGATCTTGTTCCCGGCGTAACACATCCAGCCGGAGTTGTCAGGGAGCGTTTTGCATTCCTCCCCCTCCAGACAGGGCTCCATCTCACACCACCACCTCCCAATTACTATGGATGCTACAAGGAACAAAAAAAAAAACCTTAAACAGGAGACAAATAAAGCACCTTAGAGGTGGATGAGGTTGAAGTCTGCACGGATCACTCCCATTCCTGATTAGTATTCCCATCTGAGATGTAGTTTGTCCCAATGGCTGGAGATGTTTCCATTTATATTCTGTAGCACAAATCTCTCAGTTTGCACGTCGGTACAACTTCTCTGGGACTCTTTTGCTGTTTTTACAGGACCGTAGCGTTTGCAAAACGGGACTCGCCGCGGCTCCCTGGGGGGGGGGGGGGGGGGGGGGTTGGCATTTATAGTAGCAAAGCTGAAGCTAGAATAAACTGCCATCAGGCACCTCTCAAACCAAGACGGGATGAAGGGAGGTCGCTGGGCGACCCCCCCCCCCCCCCCAGCATGTGACGTACGGGGTCGCGCATTCAGCGTCAGACGGAGGACACGTCAGACTGATGAAATTTCTTTTCCAGGACCTTTAGCTTTGATGTGACCTGCCTTTTGTCCCGCTTGACGCCCCGCTCAGCCGGTGTTTTCACCACTCTGTCGAACAGCTGGCTGTCTCTCACGTCCCCGTAAAAAGGCGACTAATCTGTTCGTCTGCTCGCACGGCCAAAAGCCCCATGGTCTCCGCGTCCGTCCAGTTTTTCATGTTGTAGGTGGTTGAAAGATACTAGTGAGAGGCCATGTTTATCTGTGTTTATATCCCTTCCGGCCGGTACTCGGAGCGCAGTACGCGTCACTAACGCGACCACCCTCTTTTGCGGGGGGGCCTCCCACAGCCGCTCCAAAGGGATTAGCGGGGCTGACACGCGTTTAGCCGTCAGAGGCGGGGGGCTCAAGCTTGGTTTATGCTTGACGCGTCCGCGAGGTTCGCACAGCTCCGCGCCGCAAAATTGCGTCATTTTAACAACCACGCCCCTCCAGCGCGCCTCCGCACGACCCAAACTTTCCGCACCGCGTACCTAGGAAATTTTCTAACCACGCGGACGGTCGGACACCGAAAAACATGGCGGACCGGCAAGAACTAGTACGGCAGAGGTTGGTAAATACAGACATTTGTATGATTCAGCTCTCAGAGATCACCGTGATCAACATGTTGTTAATAATTCTTGGAGAGAAATAGCTCGCACTGTCGGAAAAGACGAGGACGCTGTTAAAAATGCTGGAATGCCATGTTGTAAACAGTAATTTCTACTTCTACTATGGTGTAGTGTTGGATGCATGCCGTAGAGCTCCATGCTGCCCCCTACAGTTTGGGAGAATATTGGCTCACCGCAGAGACGAGCCGCATGAACCATAAACGCTGCAAGCTGTGAAGCACGTTCCATCTGCGAGCCGCGTCACCAAGCAGAAAGTAAACGCGTCGAGCATAAACCAAGCTTAAGCGCATCAGGATCGAGTTTTATCACCTTTCCCCTTTGCTCCTTGCCGCATTTACGAGACCCACAAATTCGGATTTATCACTCTGTAATGACGCAATGGTCTGTCTTATGGGCTCGACACACGGGAGGCGGCATCGCCTCTCCTCCATTCATTTTCAATGAGACATGCACGACAAAGCGATAATCGCGGGTCTCCCTCCTACCAAGCGAAACGCGAAAAACGTGCGTGTGAAAGTTTGCACTCGTGCACGTGTCGTGCACGGACGACCCAGCGACGCGATCCCAGAAAGTTGTAACATTTTCAACTTTTCATCGTTGTCGCTCGGGCGAGGACCAATCAACGGAGGTTTCATTCACTGACCAATGAGCGGACAGGATGCTCCGTACATCTCCGAGCAAACATGGAGGAGAAGTTGATTATTATTATGTTTTATAGTAAAATCAGAAGTAAGATTTCACATAACTCTAGCAGCACCTTGTGAAACATCACATCTACCAATTTATTAACTCTGAACCACTTAAATAACCTTAATTCCCTCCAACCTGACACAGCCAAACAAAACTACGGAAGTTTCGATTTCGCCATGGAACAGAACGCGTAGACGGCTTTGCCGCTGGCCGCTGCCGCGGATCGCCTCCCGTGTGACAGGTAATAAAAGCGACAGCGACAAATTTCGCTGATCGCGGTCGTTTGTCGCCTCCCGTGTGTCGAGCCCATTATAAAAGAGGCTTTTGAAATCCTAAAGCTGATCTATGAAGGCTAAAATATCTGAGTCTTTATTAAAGTGGCTCATGCTTGATGATATTTGAAGTTCTGTGGATTCACCTTTCACAGGAACCAATGAACAGAATCAATAGCAATTCCAGCTGTATGTATTGAAATGCAGCTCCTTTTGTGTACACCATTAGATATGAATGTAGAGGCTGAAACTTTGGCTTTTCATTGAGTGAGAGGACTGGTAGGTGGGACTCAGACTTGACTTTAATGCACACCGCACACTTTCCATCACAAGAGAAAATTGCCTTAAATACAGGGTAAGTAGACAGTAAATGGTTTGTAATGTGAGACGGAGGGAAAGAATCTGTCAGAGCTGACACGGAGAGACCTCACATTCCCCCGTCCGCTCGCAGATTGCAGTAATATTTGCACAAGAATTTAAGATAAAAGCTGCAGGTTAGAGGTTTCCTGGGAGCCCATTTGCTTTTTCAGCTTTCACACCCGAGCACCAAATCCATTTTTTATTTTATTTTTTACAAAGGATTGAAGCCGCACTGCTGAAATTTGTCGAGAAATGCATGTAACCATCATGAAATACCTATCAGGAATATATGTAAACAACATTTTTTTAGCCTGCATCTCTTTGCATTGTGGTATTTGTTTTTCTTTACTCGTCCCTCAGGCGTGTTAACGTCAGGCAGACGCTGGCTGTTTGTCTTGTTTCAGAGTAAAGCTGCTGCTTGCAGACACAAGAGAAGGTGGATGTGACATTATCTCCCTTAATGTTATCTTATTCGGGAAAAGCTTGATTGGTTCAGGTTTTTCTGTGTTTGGGAGACTGAACAAATCTCAATATCTTTGGAAAACAGCAGTTTTATTTATTTTTTACTTTTAGTTTGAAGCATCAACATTTTGATGGAATTCAACAAAGAACAAGAAAAAAAAACAATTCTTCACCTGCAAAAGTAAAAAGACCTTGAGTTGGTTGCTTGGATCTTGTTTAATGGGGGCCTGCAATAATATATAATAATAGTGAACAATTATTATCTGCTCCAGCTAGCTCTTTGGAAGAGATCCGTTTGAAGAAACATGAATTTCACGTTTACATCTTTGCATCCGTGCCCCAGCCAGATCCAGCAGGTGTTGGTGCGTGTAGGCCCGCCACGTTTAACAATAAAATCAGTAAATGTCTGCATTCCTGTTCATTTTAAGCTTTTTCAGAAAATACTAATGAGTCATCAGAGCACAGCTAGGTGGAGGTGACTGTTCTGTTTCTCATGTAAATCACACAGCCTGGTGACCTTTTCCGGCTGTTGCTCCTCTTCGTTTCTGTGAAATTTGGAGTCATTAGTGGTTTGAAATTTGAATTAATAAATGACATCTTTTTCTTAGAAGTATAAATGTTTACATGCAGTCAGTCTACATGTTTGTTCTGGCTGGTGCTTTTCTTTAAGGATTGTGGCATTCATCCTTTCTGATTGACGAGCTAACCGCTAGCCAGAGCAAAACCAGGAACCAGTTGGGTTTTTAAACAACTCAGTAAAAAAAAAAGAATAATAAAAAGATTATTTATCCAAATAAATTCCAATAATCTCAGCAGAAGTGCTCCAGCTATCCGTTACAACTATCTGCTACAGCTAACCACTACAGCTACGCTAATAGCATTTTGAACAACAAATAATCAGAGTTGGGTAGTAACTAGTTACATATACTTAGTTATATTTAATTGAGTAACACTTCCAAACAGTAGCATTTACTTTAATATTTTACTTTGATTTGAATCTAAGATTGAGGAGGGGCAATGTGGTTTTCGTCCTGGCCGTGGAACTGTGGACCAGCTCTATACCCTTGCAAGGGTGATGGAGGGGGCATGGGAGTTTGCCCAACCAATCCACATGTGCTTTGTGGATTTGGAGAAGGCTTATGACCGTGTCCCCAGGGGCACCCTGTGGGGGACGCTCCAGGAGTATGGGGTGGGTGGCTTTCTGTTAAGGGCCATTCAGTCCCTTTACCAGAGGAGCGTGAGTTTGGTCCGCATAGCCGGTAGTAAGTCGGACCTGTTCCCGGTGAGGGTTGGACTCCGCCAGGGCTGCCCTTTGTCACCGGTTCTGTTCATCACTTTTATGGACAGAATTTCTAGGCGCAGCCGTGGTGTGGAGTGTGTCGAGTTTGGTGGCAGGAGAATCTCGTCTCTGCTTTTTGCGGATGATGTGGTCCTCCTAGCTTCATCCAGCTCTGACCTTCAGCTCTTGCTGGGTAGGTTCGCGGCCGAGTGTGAAGCGGCTGGGATGAGGATCAGCACCTCCAAATCTGAGACCATGGTTCTCGACCGGAAAAGGGTGGCTTGCAATTCCGGGTCGGGGGAGAGGTCCTACCTCAAGTGGAGGAGTTTAAGTATCTCGGGGTCTTGTTCACGAGTGAGGGTAGGAGGGATCGGGAGATCGACAGGCGGATTGGTTCGACGTCTGCAATGATGCGGACACTGAGCCGATCTGTCGTGGTGAAGAGGGAGCTGAGCCAGAAAGCCAGGCTCTCGATTTACCGGTCGATCTACGTCCCAATCCTCACCTATGGTCATGAGCTTTGGGTAATGACCGAAAGAACGAGATCGCGGATACAAGCGGCCGAAATGAGTTTCCTCCGTAGGGTGGCCGGGCTCAGCCTTAGAGATAGGGTGAGGAGCTCGGACATTCGGGAGGGACTCTGAGTAGAACCGCTGCTCCTCCGGATCGAAAAGAGCCAGTTGAGGTGGTTTGGGCATCTGGTCAGGATGCCTCCTGGACGCCTCCCTGGGGAGGTGTTTCGAGCATGTCCTGCCGGCAGGAGGCCCCCGGGTCGACCCAGGACACGTTGGAGAGGTTACATCTCCAATCTGGTCCGGGAACGCCTTGGGGTCCTGCTGGAGAAGCTGATGGAGGTGGCCGGGGAGAGGACGGTCTGGAGCTCCCTAGCTGGAATGCTGCCCCCGCGACCCGGATAAGCGGAGGAAGACGACGACGACTTTTATTTGAGTAACATTATTACTTCCTCCTTAAAGAGCAACTCACCCCCAAATGAACTTTTTTGTGCTGATAAACTATATTTATGAGAATCTAATCGTGCTGTAGACATGTGTAGTCAATTATTTGGCACTTTAGCTAAAATTTAAATATTCTGCCTAAACGTGTCAGTGTTGCGCCCTCCTCAGGTAAAACCTCTGCACTACTTGAATTTCAATCTGCCATTGCTGTTGGCTAAGAGTTACACTGTGACGATGGCTGGTACCAATGGTCACTTTGAGCCTGTGTGTGTGTGTGCCTATTTGTAAGTGGCTCTGCCCTCTCCGTCTGCCTGGCAACACCTCCCTGTGGTGCATTTTTCAAACAAGAAATGGGAGTGGAGTAAGTTTCCGGTAGGGGGGTGACTTGCCCTTTAAGCTGTAATTTTATAATGTATATTTTTTTGTTTTATTTATTTTTAAACCACAGGAATTCACATGTCCTTATTTTGGTCTCTCTGATTTAACTGTTTTAACAAATGAAAGCAGCTGTTATGATGCTACAGGAGCCTTTTAAAAATATAGATTTTTTTTGTTCTTGTGAAGTCCCTCATGACTTTGATCTTGAGAGGGGCTGCATAAAAATCAGTTTCTTCTTCTTTTAACCAAATGCAATCAGCTGGTTTGTAAGTAGGTCAGCTGAGGTCATGCGCTCCTCACACCTGCTTCTCCTCAGTCATTCAGCTCACCTGTTCCTACTCTGTAGCTACCATTGATGTCCCTGTTGATTCTCTTGTGCTCAGATTCTCCCGTCTACCTGGTCTCATCCTGGTTGCACCCCCGCTGCCATGTTCTTGTTGTTGCCCGTTTCCATTGTTGCAGTCAGGCCTCGTGTGCATTCACCTGCACTTTGGGTCCAACTCCTACAAACTCATGACCTTTTACTTGAGTATTTTTTCTTCTCCTTGAGTAAATGTATATTCAAGCAACGCTACTTGAGTGGAACCATTGCCTACTTTACCTCCTCAAATAATGACAGAGATATTTGTAAAAAACACGTGATGCTAAGTTGATGGAATGTATTTCTGTCACATGCACATGGTGAGATTTTTGTTACTGGAGCTGTTTTAAGATTATTTGATCTTCTTTGGTCTCAACCCTGCTGTGACTAGTGGTTAGCTTGTCTATCGGACCTGTTTCTCCAACCTGAGGCAGTTTAATGAACTACCTACGACACACTTCTATCATCCGAAGTCCTGCTTAAGCTTCTCCTTATGGAACCCGAGGACCCCACGGGCCAGCCTTGTACTCACCGTCGACACATGAAGGTCTGTTTCTGGTGGTTCCCGCCACTTTTCCTGGCAGACAAGAACACTTCACCGTCTGTGACCGCTCCTCAATACGGTTCTTATTACAGCATCTGTGAGCAGCGATTACTTCACAGGTGCCGCCCTCTGACAAGCAGACAAACAAGCAAACATCAGACTGCATGAGGTCAACATCTGCTCCCTGCACACGTTAGCATTGGTCAGGTCTGTAATCTGAGCTTGTTTAGTGTAGCACTTTTCTTAATCTGTAGTTTACGCTGGGTTTTAGGAGCTAATGCTACTTTTTCTCTCTCAGCAAAACCATTAAGTCAGTTTGACTGAACATCACATTTCCTTTCTTCTATTGTTTTATCTCAATAGAACATAAAGCAAAGTGAGTCTTTAATGTTGCTGGTTCTCCTTTTAATTATCTAATGAAACGTCTCCGTCTGTCAAACCCTCACAGAAACAGAATCATAAATCAAGCTTCCTGTTTTGAATGGATGCAGGTTTTGTCCCATATCACTGAATCCATCATGTCCATTCCCATCAGGTGTGACACGTAAACGTCAATGACTTCACACCATCCTTTACACATTTTACGTTTTATTTATACTTTTTCAACCAGACAGCAGCTGAGGTAACGCAGGTGTACCACAGGTAACCCCTACCTGAGCTGTAACAGGTCTGACTAGACACAATAGCCACTAATGATTGTGCTAATGCAGTAATAATGAATAATACATTATAATCCCATTAAGTCTTGAGATGAATTGAAAGCTGTTTGATTTAATGAACAGTTTATGCATACACTCATTGGCCACTTTATTGGGTACACCTGTCCAGGGGCGGCGTTAGGCCCGGCTACTTGGGCTGAAGCCCCGGATGTTTCATGAAAAGCCCCGGATCTAAATCGCGGAAGTAGCATGCAGTACCAAAGTCCAACAGAGAGGGAGCAGCTGGCAGTAGTTTGTATACAGCCTGCCTGAGCCTCCACCACTGAAGAAGAAGCCCTTCAGCAGCCGGCTTCTTCTGCAGTCTCTGCCTGAAACGCATGAGTGAAGATGGACATAAGGACGTTTTTTAGACCAAAAGTACGGCGACAGAACCCCAGCTTTGATGAGACTGGTGTTGACTCAGGTTTGTGAGTCTTATTTGAAAATATTTGTTGTGCTGCTGGTTTGCCTAAAGTTAGCTTATCAGGTAAAGTGGTTGGAGAAAGAAAGGGAATATTTACTATCATCTCACACTAAACACTAACAGGAACAATACTCTGCCCTGAAAATGCTTCATATGTAGCTTCAGATTAAAAATTATGTGGTACAAGACATGATGTTGACTAGTGCGTGCAACGTGTGTGTGCGTGCGTGCATGCGTGTGTGCGTGTCACGTGTGCGCGCGTGTGTTAAGCCCCGGATGTTCTTCAGTCCTTAATCCGCCCCTGCACCTGTCCAACTGCTCGTTAACACACATTACTAATCAGCCAATCACAAGGGTCGATACTGGGCCCAACCTTATTCAAAATCTATATGAATAATATTGTTCATGCTGTTGACAGTTCTCATATACATTTATATGCAGACGACACCGTTTTATATGCATGCAGTTCTTCCTTGAACACAGCTTTGTCCTCCTTGCAGCACAACTTTGTCTTCAACACGCCTTCTCCAACCTTCATCTTCATTTAAGCACAAGTAAAACAAAGTTCTCGATCTTCAACCGTAACTTTCCACCCTAGTATTGTTTTCCTGGATGGTAAAGAACTACAGGTAGTCAGTTCCTATTCCTATCTGGGTATCTGGCTTGACAGCACACTTTCATTTGACAATCACACTAATTCATGACTTTCTAAAGTCAAGTCAGATATTGAGTTTGCACATCACAACAGGTCATCCTTTACTCCTTCTGCAAAGCAAATCTTGGCCTAAATGACAATCCTTCTATCTTAGATTACGGTGACATCATTTATAGGACTGCTTCCAAAAAAAATTCTTCATGAACTTGATGTCATTTATCACTCAGCAATCCGTTTCATCACTGGTGCCTCTTTCTCTACTCATCATTGTGATTTGTACTCACTCATTAAGTGGCCATCTCTCTGTTCCTGCAGGTTGTTGCATTGGTATCAGTTCATATACAAAACAATCATTGGTAGAACACCGCCACATCTTTGCTCATTACTAGGGCTGCTCAATTAATCCAATTTTAATCCCAATGGGGGGTGCAGCTGTGGTTGGGACAATTACATTACATTAAATGATGGACCTGTAAATAAATAGTTTATAAATAAGGTAGAAATAAGTTCCTCACACTAATAAATAATAACTAACCTCTATGAGGACTCGGTGCTAGTGCACTCTCCTACAGCACCTTGACACGACTCAATAAATGTTATGCAACATTTTGTGAACATCAATTTATTTGCATTTATTTGTTATAAATGCCGCTGTATAATTCTTGCTGTTGGTATTTGTAAGATATTGGTATTTGGGTCTGTACTGGTTAGACTTCAATTCAATTCAATTCAAAAATACTTTATTAATCCCAGAGGGAAATTGATCGCTGTAGTAGCTCAGAATAATAATAATAATCAAGTCATCAAAGAGTTATTGTATATTACAATGGCTGTTGGCAGGAAGGATCTCCAGTAGCGGTCAGTGTTGCAGCCAAACTGAAGAAGCCTCTGACTGAAGACACTCTTCCGTTGTCGGACAGTCTTGTGAAGAGAATGCTCAGGGTTGTCCATCATTTTCTTGATTCTCTGGAGAATCCTTCTTTGCATTATCTCCTCCAGCGGTTCCAAAACTGCCGAAACTCTGGCTGAGTCCTTGAAAGGGTTTGGAGTTCCTCCATCTTGTTGGCCAGTGATCTCACATTGCCCGTTATGATCGATGGGAGAGATGGTTTGAATTTTCTCTTTCTCTGTCTCCGTTTTGCTCCCGCTCTGCACCCACGCTTCTTGCGTTTTAGCTCATTTGGGATTTGTGGCTTCAGTTGAGGTATTATTTCAGCCTTCCCAATGTTAATCAGCTGCTCCCGATTGTAAACCATTTGTTACCATGGTTACGCATCATAACAAATGCTCAAAAAGTGTAAAAAGCTAAAAAAATAGCAGTAAAAATCCTCCAAGCTTCACAGCACCAGAAACAGAAAAGTAAAATGTCCAAAAAATACAATTTTTCTTGAGAAACTAGAAGAAAAAATGCCCAAGAAAAGGCAAAACTTACATGTAGACAACAGAGCTACTCCAACATGCAGCCACCCAGAGCAGCGCAGTTCCGGTAAATGAGTTAAACCAAGGTCTATAGCCCTTGGGTCATAAACTATGAGCTGTAAGTATATTGGTCTTTTTACACAGGAGTTATTTTAGTGATCATCTTGTTTCTTATTTATTTTTGTCCTGATTGTGCCCAGAGCAATTTTATGACTGAATAAAAACAAATAAAATCAACATTAATTGAAAAATTGTCTTAAATAATCGAGATCTCAATTTCAGTCACAATAATCGTGATTATTATTTTTGCCATAATCGAGCAGCCCTACTCATCATCATCACTACCAACAACCAGCACCATTTACTTTCCAGTAACTTCATCTCTATGGTTATTCCCAAAGATCACACCTCCTTTGGCCGCTGCTCATCGCAGTTTGCTGCTTCCATCGACTGGAATGAGCTGCAGAATTCACTGAAGCTCACTACATTCCATTATCTACCTTCAATAATTCATTACAATCAATAGTTTCTCACCAATGTGCTTCTGAGTACTTATAGATTGTTTAAAGTCTGTTTGGACTGCTTGTACATATTGTAAATGAGAACAGTCCGTTGTCTTTATGTCTAATTGTTTACCTTATTTTTATCTTGTATTTTTTTATCTTACCTGTTTTTCTTCGAAGTAAAGCTAACTACGTGTCTGTTGCTGCTGCCTCTTGGCCAGATCGTCGTCGTAAATGAGATTTAGTTCTCAATCGACTCATCTGGATAAATAAAGGTTAAGTAAAAAATAAAGTAAACATGGTGGCAGCTCAATGCACTTAGGCATGTAGACATGGTCAAGAAGACTTGCTGCAGTTCAAGCCGAGCTTGAGAACGGGGAAGAAAGGTGATTTAAGTGACCTTGAACATGGCGTGGTTGTTGGTGCCAGACAGGTTGTTCTGAGTATTACAGAAACTGCTGATCTTCTGGGACTGTCACACACAACCATCTCTATGATTTACAAAGAATGGTCCAAATAAAGGGAAAACATCCAACGAGCGGCAGTTCTGTGGGCGAAAATATCTTGCGGATGCCAGAGGTCAGACGAGAACGGCCAGACTGGTTTGAGCTGAAAGGCAACAGTAACTCAAATAACCACTGATCACAACCACGGTGTGCAGAAGAGCAACTCTGAATGCACAACGCGTCAAACCTTGAGACAGATGGTCTACAACAGGGGTGTCAAACTCAAACTCACACGGGGCCGAAATGAAACTCTGGGACGGAGTCGAGGGCCAAACTTAATATTTTTTGAAAAAGTGACGGCAAATTTGCACATTTTCTTTATCAACATATATGCAATTTTGAAACTTTTAATTTGGAAACAAACTTATTTCTGCGCTAACACTGAATGTGGAATAACCAAATTACACACGAGCAAGTCAGTTTTAAATAAAAGGCATCAGTGGTATTCATTACTTGTGGTATAATCAGCATTTTTAAAATCTTTTAAATCTTTTAAATCTTTTCTCACGGGCCAACAACAAAATAAAAATATCATTTTATCTTAAATGAAAATGCAACATCTCACCTGTTAACTTTCATGTTTTGGAGCAGAAAAAGAGCATAAAACCAACATATTTAAAGCTCCGTTTGCTCCACTGGTTTACTGTGATGCTCACCTGTTCCAGCCAGATACCTGCATCATGGGGTTGATCTGAGCTGAGGAGGAGACTCCTGTTGTTTTGTTCATCTTCATCATAATAATGACAACATTAGATGACAACAGGTGCTCACATAGGTTTGTGCTGATGAACATGTCTGAGCAGCTTGACCGCGTTGTTGTGTGTCGGGGAGGAAACACAACGACAGCAGCTACAGAGCCGTGCTGGTTTGAGCGCGTCGCTGTTCGCTGGAGTTATATCAGCTCTGTCTGGACGTTAGTTGGAA